TGACTTTTTAAAGAGTAGTTATATTAATAGAGGGGTCACCAAGTGGACGCGTCTGGTGATGGGGCGTTTCACGGGAAAAACTATTATTAATAATAAGGGAGCTCGAGGCTCCCAAATTTAGAGTTAGGTCAATATCGTATGCTGCACCCAAATGCGCTTTGCCCGTGAATGAACAGCTACATTTTTACACGTCCTAACGTGCGGTATTGATTACTCAAGTACCGGTATATGTATAAGGACTCCTTCTTAAGGAGTTCTCCATCGGCGAAGCTTCCCCGTACAGATTTTTCGCTGAGCGACAATTACTTTTAGCTCTTTCTAATACTGTAGTGACGATGAAGCTTTGATAGTGCGTTATCTGATTAACATTCTGGAACTTTAATCCAGCCGTGGCGAAGCGCCTTATGATTTCCGTCAGAATTGAGAAATGGTACGACAAACAACGACAAAATGATCATTCATCTCCCGAAATATCACCCCGGTCAGAGTGGAAAAATCTGAATTCTGATTGAATCCTTAGTAAACACACAAAAATTGGCGGAACTCCGATCGGGGTCACCAAGGAAATTTTAGCGGAGTATGAAATCTTAGTGCACGGATGAAACTGATTATCTAGGGCAAAGGCTGTCGAAGGCAGGAAAAAATCGATAACGTTACTTCTATGAAGTGATTGTCGACTGTTGGACACTCGAGACGGCGGAACCGTCGGATAGTGTCACTGTTATATGAGTGCGAGGCGTTTTACTACTTCTTTAGTAGCAATAGAAACAGCTCGCTATAATTGCTGTATGACCCTTCATGATAAAACTTCGGATTAAAATGCAGCATCGAAAATAGATAAACACACCATGTTATTAGTGCAAAACGGATTAAGCTTATGTTGCTATTTTGTCAGATGAAGAATTCGATACATAGAACATTATAAATATAAACTAGAGAAACCCAAGGTAATCCTAATAATATGAGCATCGGTCTAAAATCGAGAATCATAGTTGCTTCCACCATTCCGCATCATTTACGAAGACTCAAACCTCACCTCGACCGTGCGCTGTTTCGCTCTCGTTCGCTTTGTTCTCTAACCCTGGTACGAGAGTGCTAATTAGATCTCGGGGGGGGGGCGTCACCCGTACCGGTAATCTACTTTACTTTTGTCACCACTTCGAACCCACAGAAAAATTAATTGGTGGGCTTGTCGAACACGTATTCATCAGGTGGGCTCCGCAGTTTCGTCACCGACATCAGATCGGACGCATGCAGACTTAAGCTCGACTGGCATCTCGGTGGCACTGGCTCAATTGAAGAATGTGGGAGGGTTTTGAGTGAGATCAGCAACACAATAGTCTGATACTAACAAAACAAGAAAAAGGGAGAGCCCGGCGGTCCGCAAATGCAAGAATTGCTTCTGTTAGCGTGCAATTTAAATTTGGCTGAGGCACCCCACGACCGGAATACCCTTAGCCGGGGAAAAAATGCTGGTTTCCGGCGCTATGACTACGGAAGGGTTCGTTACCTGGCGTCACATCATCTTCAAACACTACAGACAAATCGTGAAGTATGAAGATGATGTGACGCCAGCATATATCTTGCAATCGCGCCTTTTCTTTTCAGGATTTGAATGTTTCGGGGAGACCGTAAATACAGTAAGGCTTTCATCATCATTTTCGATTCCACTCACTCGGCAATAGCATCCCCTGGCAGAAGACGAAATAATGCGATTCACTGTCTTGCTCGTGGGCATCTTGGCCGCATGCTGCTCCAGTTACGCGATGGCTGATGACAATACTATCGGTCGCCGTCTTAACGAAAAAAAAAGTTGCTGAAACCGCTACTCAATTTGTCTCCGGTCAAGTTGATGACGTTTTGCTGAAGAAAGCGG